ATTTTCACATCCAATGACCTTGACAATGGCTTTGGCTTTGGCTTTGGCACCAGCTCTGGCGCTGGCTCTTTATGGTTACAACAGCTACAACAGCAGCAACTAACAACTTGTTGTTGCCGCTACTTGAGAAACAGCTTGTCCCTCTATCTGCGGCCCCTTCTTGCTCACTCTCTCTCTCTCTCTTTCTGTTTCCTCTCCGCCGCTCCAACAGATGCCGTCAAATAGATCTACTTGTTCGGACTCTTAATTCAAACTTGCGTGCGTGTGTGTGTGTGTTTGTGTTTTTGTGTAGAAAACGTGACGAGTTACGTACTCTTGGAGAAAGGTCGTTGATCATAGCAATGTGTGTGATATGTGTTTGTTGTTATTGAAACATTTGTTGTAGCTGTAGTCGTAGTTGTTGTTGTCATTCATTCAAATCGTAGCGGTTTCAAAGTCAACGCACAAAACTCGCTTTTTAGGCAATTTGATCGTTTTCAGACTTTAAACAAAAACCTGGCTAAAAAATAAAAATATGTACAGATACTCTCTACTCCCCCTCGCCCCCCTTTATACATTCAGCATCCATGTTGCCTGTTTTGGTGGCTTAGTAAGGTATGCAAGAGTATGTGTATTTAGTAAAAAGGTCGAATTTATGTGCACAAAAGTATATAATTTATATAGAATTTATGGAGAACTATCTTTGAATTTATCAACAAATAAATGTATGTACATACATACATCTACATGTCTGTAGTAATAAGCAAGCATAACGTTACAGACTAATGCAAATCCTGTACTTAAAAATATTAAAAAATATGCACAACATTTCCCGATTTTGATGAGGCATTATACAGAACGTAAAATGACAACATTTTGTAAAAATATCTTCTTTATCAAAACCGTTATGATAGTCCACGGTGTAATTAAAACATGTTTAACGAACTCGCTTGAAGAATGAAATATTATTGTTAGGATTTGAAATTCTTTATCAATTTATTTCGGTAACAAACCGTTAGCAATCCAAACGACTAGTATACAGATGTATGTATGTACGTAAATATGTATACTTACATACGATATGTATAAACATATACACATACAAAAATATACCGAACGATAAGATAGTTAGTGTCATAATACTTTTTACCGCCATGGCGCATAAATAAAAGAGAACAAATAAAAAAACACGCACATACATACATACATATGTATGTATGTATGTAAGTAAATGTTAACGTATGCGAATATTTTTGACAACTGAAAGAAAAAACCCATGGGGAAATACTTGGGCAATCGAAATGTGTTTCCCATTTAACCCCTCCCTTTCTTACATTACATTAAAAGCAACAGACTAGCTCCAGTTTCTGCGCCCCTTTTGAGAACGAACTGCACGGCTTTATTTTATTTTTATGGAATTGTTGCAACTCGGTTCGATAGCTTCAAATAAAAGGAAAAATCGGGCGAGACAAGTCATTTTAAAAATGCGAAGCCAAATGCGGCAAATATAATGCAGCCGGTTGTCGTAGCCGGGTAGCAAGCCGTACTGGGCAGCCACTCCTTGAAACAATGTCAAGCCGCTCTTATGTATGTATGTATAAACACATATACATATATATGTGTGCACATGTGTTTGTGTATACAATCTTGTGTGTGTGTGCTCGCGTATGCGTGCTTGTTGTTATACCCTGTACCCAAAGGGGGAAAGAGTATACTAGTTTTGTGCGAATGTATGTAACAGACAGAAAAAGGCGTGGCAGACCCCACAAAGTATCTATATTTTTGATCAGGATGAAAAGACGAGTCGATATAGCCATGACCGTCTGTCTGTCCGTCTGTATAAGCACAAGGATCTCAGTAAGTACAAGAGCTAGGATAACCAAAATTGGTATCAAGGTTCCTATAAGCCCTAGGAACCGTTTGTTTATTTTTTCTGATCCACCCCCCACTCCCCCCCTATTAACGATTTTCTTTAACTCCCGTAATTCTCGGAATTTTGAACTAATTTTGAAAAATTTGGTAGTCACATTAGGTTAGTAATTATATATCCGTATACCAAGTTTCATTATGATAGAATGATCGGAAAGAAAGTTATAGCCATATAACCAGGCCCAATGCACACATACATACATATGTACAAGTACACAAACACGCATAAGGTACGATTCTGATGTAAGTGTAAATGTATGTATGCATGCATGGAATATTTTATATTTAATTTAGTTAATTAAATTAATTTAGTTAATTAATTTAATTACTTTTTTGTGGGGTGGTACAGGGTATTTAAGAGTTGAGCCTGCTCGACTTTAGCATTCCTTTCTTGTTTTTTTCTGCGTTTGATACTCGCTCTCTTTCGCAAAGCCTCTCTCGACTTATGTATGCATACATACATATATGCATATGTGTGTAAGCGGGCCTGTTGTTATTTGCTTGTGAGTCATATTTAAACTTGAAATGGGCAGTTTATAAGCAAAATAAAATGATTAGCCATTTCACATAAATAAATATTTGTATGTAAACAAAATTACAAATAGCTGCTTAGAATGAGTCGTATTGTTTATACGTTTGTCACCTGGCACAGCAAAACGGCTGTTAACTCACACACAAGCACTCTGTTGAGTACATATGTACATATGTATGTACATACATACATATACATGTAGGTGTGTACATACAAAGCTATGCTTGAGCCTGCAGCTTTCCCCTCTTCCAAACATTTGCCGCTGTTACGCTCTTTCACTTTTTGCCGTTGCATGATAGAAGCTTGACTTTTGCAGAAAACCATGGGAGATAAAGAGAGTGCTTCATTGCACGACAGTGTTGCCATCGATTGATTCGCATTTGTACCTTCTTAATAGATGCATATGTACATATGTATATACACACAAAAAAATTATTTAACTTCCCTTCAAATACATATGTATGTATGTACATATGTATATGAATTTGAATGCATTATTCTAACTTAAACTTTATAGGCCGCTTATCAATCGCCAAATGCAACAACACTGACTCAGTTGTATGGCTGAGCGCCATGGCAAGTGCTCACTCACCAATCGCCGACATGTATGTATGTGAATATGTGTGTTTGTTGGCTATCTCTTTTGCGCAAACGCGACGTTGACGCATTCTCGGCAGGTAATGTTTGTTTTTTTTTAACATACGGCGCCGACCGTTATTATCGAAAGCCGGCTTGCGGTTTTGAGAAACTATGCGCTGTTTGATTCCCCTACATGTTCAACTTGTAATGCCAAAACATGCATTTATTATTTTAATAACATTTAGCTCAAAATTATGTATAGTACATAGCTACATAGAAATGTATGTTATGTATGTATGTAGGGTGAGTACAAAGCAACTTTGAAAGTAGCGCAACAATCAGTTGAGGCAACCATTAGAAAATACTACCAAGATAGCATCCACACACATACATATGTACTTGTACATATACACAATTACACATGCATACAATACATACATACATATGTATATATTTATTTATATGTACTCATGGTGCAGAGAGACCGCATGGTGCTCAGTGAGCGAGGGAATTCTCTGAAAGTGGCGAATTCAATTTCATACCATATATGGTCAATGTTTGAAAACTGCTGGAGAACTGGCGCTGATAACAAGCTCCTCAGCGCGAGCTAGTCAAAGTCACACATCTGGCCTATGGCGGGCTTTATAAAACGTGAACCGACGACCAGTTTTCAATTCATTGCAGTTTGAGTTCTTGTGCTGTGTGGATATTCCTCCCGACACAAATCCGCTAAAAGCAGCCAGCAGTCGTCTAAACAAAAGACACAAAACCGAAAGACTAAATTTATATTTATTTAACTAATTTTAGTAAAGACAGACCAAAAGTAAGTATAAGCGAACGACCTTAGTTTTTGTTATTGAACCATCGAAGCAGTAAACGAACATTAAAAACGTGCAAAAAGTGCGAGATAATTTTTTTGTTGACAACAATTTTTTTTATAAAACATGTGAAAATGGTGCAAAGTGTTACAATGCAGTCGAAGATTGCAAGAAATTCGATTGAACTCGTGAAATTGAAATGGTCACGCGCCATATGATCAACACAAATAAAAAGCCAAACAAAACCGCCGAAGAACTCTGTTGACACAAGTCAACCAAATTGTTCAGACCTCAGTCCCAGCCCTGTTATCACAAGACTCGAAACGACCGATAAAGCCAGGGCGTGTCGCCCAGTGTAGATCTCTCTAAAAATAAAACCAAAAATTATTGTAGAGCACATAACAGTTACGATTCATTTCGTTTCTTTTGCCAATTTACAATTCAATTCGCAAACACTTTCTATTTTCCCACGCTTCAATTAACTTTCAAACGACAACAACAAAAATGTAACTGTCAAATGCACCGCACCCAAATAAAAGTTTGTCGCCGTGTCATGTGCTCTCAATCTTCTTCTTTGTACACACGTACATATGTATGTATGTACATACGTATATATGTTTGTCCACCTGGCCAGCAACAACAACAACAACATCAGGGCAGACAGCCCACAGCCTAAAGTAGCGCAACTTGTCTAGAAATAGTCACAGAAAATCGCGTCATTAAAGTTATTTGGAAAGACATGAGCATATGCCGGTTTTAACGTTTTTTTTTTTGTATTTTTTAACTACTGACAAAAATGGTGAAAACCTTCAACGCGCATTGCAAAGTCTGCAGTAGTGTGTGTGTTGTGTGTGTGCTGAGAGGGCGAGAGAGCGACGGCCGTGACGTGTACATACACACATACACTTTTCTGCTTACACTGCGCTTCGCTTCGAAACATGACCATATATGGTCACAAAAGTTGGGTACCCAAGCCGCTGTTGCCGTCGTCGCGTAGGGGTAAACAACATTTTGCCTCTTGTGCTCTCTTTCGCACGCATGCGCTCTGCGCGCAGTGTGTAAGCAAGCAAACAAGCTCACGCACACACATGTACAAATTCGAAGATAGCGAGTGACGACCGACAGACGTTGGGATCGCGGTTAACTGGCATTTGCTTTTCGCTGCCCCGTTCATTCTTCTTTCGGCAGTCAGTCGGTGCGGTTGCAGTCTCTTTTTTCGCTTGGCTTAGAGATTCATCAAACTTGAAGTAAATTCGCAAACTTTTGTGAAGTTTAAAATTCGATTTGTTTTTTGTGTAATCCGCTTAACAACAAAAAGGTAAAAATGATAACGAAACATAAAAGAAAATCATATTTGTGAAAAATTTGTGCGAATTTAATGCAAAGCAAGAATCAAGAGTTCGCCGGCTTACTGTAACCTTATTTTTTCCTTGATGGTGCGGCAGCCATTTTTTTTTTTACTCGCCTGCTTCCCTTTTCCTATGCGTCTGGATACACACATTCTCTTTTGCTTTGCACCGGCATTTGGCTAACTAGTGCCCCCTTTTTTTCGTGTTAAACATTTTAGTATGGGGCGGGGCTGATGCTCTCGAATATTCTGTGAAGTGTTTAATTAGTTACTAATTTTCCATTATTTTTCGTATGTTATTGCAGCCTACAAAATGTGTGACGAAGAAGTTGCTGCATTGGTTGTCGACAACGGCTCTGGCATGTGCAAGGCTGGTTTCGCTGGCGATGATGCGCCCCGTGCCGTCTTCCCATCGATTGTTGGTCGCCCACGTCATCAGGGCGTGATGGTCGGCATGGGACAGAAGGATTCGTATGTCGGTGATGAGGCACAGAGCAAACGTGGTATCTTGACCCTCAAGTATCCCATTGAGCACGGTATTGTGACCAACTGGGATGATATGGAAAAGATCTGGCATCATACCTTCTACAATGAGCTGCGTGTGGCACCCGAGGAGCACCCCGTGTTGCTGACCGAAGCCCCGCTGAACCCCAAGGCTAATCGCGAAAAGATGACACAGATCATGTTCGAGACCTTTAACACACCCGCCATGTATGTGGCCATTCAGGCTGTGCTCTCGCTGTATGCCTCTGGTCGTACCACTGGTATCGTGTTGGATTCTGGTGATGGTGTTTCCCACACCGTACCCATCTATGAGGGTTATGCCCTGCCACACGCCATCCTGCGTCTGGATTTGGCCGGTCGCGATTTGACCGACTATCTGATGAAGATCTTGACTGAGCGTGGTTATTCCTTCACCACCACTGCCGAGCGCGAAATTGTCCGCGACATCAAGGAGAAGCTGTGCTATGTGGCGCTCGATTTCGAGCAGGAGATGGCCACAGCCGCCTCTAGCTCGTCTCTGGAGAAATCCTATGAATTGCCCGATGGTCAGGTGATCACCATTGGCAATGAGCGTTTCCGTTGCCCCGAGGCTCTGTTCCAGCCTTCATTCTTGGGTATGGAAGCCTGCGGCATCCACGAGACCACATACAATTCGATCATGAAGTGCGATGTGGATATCCGTAAGGATCTGTATGCCAACACTGTGCTGTCTGGTGGCACCACCATGTACCCAGGTATTGCCGACCGCATGCAGAAGGAGATCACTGCCCTGGCTCCATCGACCATGAAGATCAAGATCATTGCTCCACCAGAGCGTAAATACTCTGTCTGGATCGGTGGCTCCATTCTGGCTTCCCTGTCCACCTTCCAGCAGATGTGGATCTCCAAGCAGGAATACGATGAGTCTGGTCCCTCCATTGTGCACCGCAAGTGCTTCTAAACGACTCACATCATCGTCCCATTGCTGGAAGAGGAGTATCAGGAGGAAGAGGAGGCGTAGATGTAGAAGTAGAAGGAGTAGCAGCAGAAGTGCGAGTGGCAGAGTTCATTTGGGCGTTGAAGTGCAGCACAACATCAATAAGAAGAGCAACAGCGAAAGCTACAGTTATTATTATCATCATATTATCATTGTTAGCATTCACACATCTTCGTCGAATGCTGCGTCGTGTTGTGTTCTAGCATTAACTTAATTTATTCCACATGAGATATATATGTAATTTTTTTTTTGTTTTTTTATACCTTTAATTATAACAAGAAAAATGAAATTTAAAAGAACATCAACATCTGCCATTCCGCGTTGGCGTTTGCCACACACACACACACCACATGCAAAACACTCGCTACTTCAGCAGCATGACAACACCCAATACCAACAACAACAAATATAAGAACCCTTCAAAAACAGTAAAAGCGTTAAAAGACACACCTAACAAACACAAAACGGCAAAACAAAACATCAGAGTTTTGTAATACTTCAAAGTAAACCTTATGTATTATTTTTAATTATGATGTAATTATAAACAAGTGAGAAAAACAAAAATATGAAGAAAAACTTAAAAAAAAAATGCCAAACTGTTTTATGCCCTGCCTATCTGCTTGTCCTTTTGTACCTCTCTCTTTGATTGTCTGTCCTTTACACTTGCTTAACCTTCAACTGTCTTGCTACTTCTGCCTGCTCTTCTGTATACCCGGCTTGCCGGCCGGCAACCCACAAACACATGTACTACGCAATCCAAGAGCGCAAGTTTCATGGGTCTTGAGAGAGAGAGTAAGGAGAGAACGCAACCGAAATTGCAATGTTGCAAATATTTATTTTTGTGTATTTGTTTGATTAGGGCACACTTTTCTGATTGCATGCTTATCGAATGGTACATGTTTATTAAAATGTGAAATGCGCTGCTAACGAACATTGTGCTTTTTCTTTTATTATTATATTTTTTTATTGCCGAAAATGTGGTCAACCACCGTTGTAAAACGAGTTGTTTGGGGGAGGGGGGGTGAGGGTCAGCGAACTTTGCTCTTGAAACCTGCTTAACAGCTGTTGGCAGTGTGCTGCTCCAATTTTTAGTCGCCGTTGGCTCGCACACGCACACATACATATGTACATGTAAAAGCATAATGCTAATGACTTGCATACACACAAGCTGGACAACTGTGCGTTAAAGAGTAGCGACTTTATTAACGAACGCGCAGAGCGATCGAGCGATTAAAGTGCCGTTTCAAATGTTAATAAAATGCTACAAAAAAACATTGTTGGCATAGCTGTAATCTTCAATTTATACAAATTCATATACATTCATATATGTATGTATGTGTAAGCATGAGGGTACCACCACAAAGGACCGCATAACCGGTCGTCTATAAAGGGCGGCTGTCCATGGAATATGCCAAGCTTAGCAGATCGATTCATGTACATATGTATGTATGTATTTACGAACGCACACATACATACATACACGTGTGTATATGTTAATGCGCGTATCTATCAGTGCCAACTGTTAGAAATTCCCGCTACAGTTATTTTAGAATATTCTTTAAAGCTGAGGCTTGACTTTTTATTTAGTTAGCTTTAAGCATAAAGCAATGTAGAAATTAAACATAAATTCTTCTAAAATAATGCGAAATTCGTTTTATTATAATTAGCTTTTATTACGTACATGTTTGAATTCATTCCAAAGATGAATCGTCTTTAGGTTATGGGATAGAAATGCAGTTCATCTATGTATGTATGTCTTATGTACAAGATATAGACAGATTTTCATTGAGCTATGCTGGTTCCAAATATTGAAGATGCAAACTGTATCCATGCGGTATTTCAGAAATATCATATATCTGTAAAGCACGTACTGAAATATTGCCCTTGAATCTATTTGATTAACAGCAAGCGATAGACCTCCTAAATGAACCAAATTGAACTGCACCCGAAAAGATGGTCTGGAATATTTTGCAATTAATAAAATAAAAACATGTCTTATCAATGAAGCTTTTGCTGGTGAGGACTGGGGAAATTAGGTGTACGAATAATATTAACACTGGTGTAGTTCAACGTTTACCATATTGTAAAATTTCCCCCACCTGGTTGGCGATTTTCCATTATCTCTTTTTGTTTCTTAATTATTTTAATCAAATAATTCGAATTTAGTTTTCTCCTCTACTTAATATTTTTTGATACGTCTATAACGTCTCCGATAACATTTGGCTGTGAATCGGGGCGTAGCTGGACAAATGGCGAAAAAAATTCCCCCAACGTGTCGGAGGCGTGGATAGATTATCTATTGTACAGTTTTATTGTTTATATATTATATTGTATATATTGTTGTAATTTTTGAACCAGCAGCCCATCTTGTTTTTTTTTTAATAAAATAAATATCTATAGCTTTCTTTTTACTTCAACTATATTATTACAAGTTAATTAATAAATTTGTAACTAAAAATGAAGAATTAAAAGAAAATTGTACAAATACTTCATGCTTTATAGCCTATATAACTTTTATATTTAATAGCTGCACCATTTGGCAATAAAGTAAAAAACTTCATCATTGAACAATATGATTACCAACAAGAGAGAACGCTACAGTCGAGCAAGACCGACAGTGAAATACCCTGTACCTAGACAAACTTCCGGCCTTGAGCTTTATTTATTTATTTTATGAGCCTATAGGCATAAGAAAAAGGAAGAAGAGCAGCGATCTTGATGCTGAGATCGTAGTACTGGAGTGAAATTGTTTCGCTAATACGTTTTCTTTTAATTCGACGATTTGTATAACATTGAAAATACAAGGTGGGTTCCAAAGTCAACAGGACTTTTGCGTTAGAATCTGCTATCTTTATCGATTGTCCAGTGAGAATTTCATGACATTTCATTGATTGGAAGTGAAGTTATTGCGTTTTAGGTGTCAGTATGTTTGTGTTATCGGTGCGAAAATGAGCTTCGAACAAAGAGCCAACATTGAATTTTGTTTTAAAATTGGTAAAACTTTTACCGAAACGTTTCAATTGATGGAACAAGTTTATGGCGATGATTGCCTATCCCGTAGCAGAGTGCACGAGTGGTTCCAACGTTTTCAAGGTGGTCGTGAGGACATAAATGACGATCAACATGTGGCCAATCAAATTTCGTGATCACCGAAAATTCCATCGAAACTGTGCGTGAATTCATAAAAAATCAGCCGAAATCATTATTGAAATTGATGGAAATGGCATTGATCATCTCCAAAACATCGATTTATCGCGTTTTGACCGAACATTTGGGCTTACGAAAGGTGTGTGCACGGTTTGTTCCGCACAAATTGACTGACGACCAAAAATTGCTCTCATCGATCGACGCTTGAGACCGATTATTTGACCAAAAATCACATTTTAGCCATTAACCACTCGCCGTATTCACCTGATATGGCACCGTGCGGCTTCTACCTTTTCGGAAAAATGCATTTGCCCATGAAAGGCAAGCGTTATGCAGACGTAGAGGCCATTCAAAAGGCTTGCACTGGCATACTGGCGGCCATATCGGCCAACGAGCTAAAACACTCGTTCGACATGCTATTGGATCGTGCAAAAAGCTGTATTGAAGCAGAAGGAGACTATTTTGAATAAAATAAATTAATTTTGCCGAAAAAACCATTTGTTCTGTTTTTTTTTAATTCCTGTTTACTTTGGAACACACCTTGTAGATAATTGTATATAGATTAGGTGTGCAAAGTTTCGTTTATGAAACTTTTAAAATGTGGATAGTATTGACGAAGTTCTGTAGCGGGGAGAGGATGGGAAATCAAAAAAATTAAATAAACTCGTGTTGCCTAGGGACTAGAAGCGTCTACCTACCAAGTTGGGTTAATGTGGGTTCAGCCGTGTCCGAAATCCAGGCGTTCATCCAGACGGACGGATAGACATGTCTAGATCGATTCGTCTCCTCATGTAGATTTAGAATATAATATAGTTTATGGGATTGAAGATGCCTCCATACAAACATACATACTATACTATAGTTTAAGCTACGGATACAGGTTATAAATATTGAATTGGGCAGAATGTTATATTCCTAGTGACTATAAAAGTATCATGTGCAATTTAGCCTAATGAGTTGGTTAAGAAATGGACAGTTTTATATGATGGATATGATTGGGACTTGTAGGCTATACTGTCAAAGATACGGAAATAATACCACAGCAACAGGAAGACACACTGAATGACTTAACTCGCCAAACTGATCAACACACTAATCTATGTATGTATGTACATAGGTATAGCTCATTTACGATTTGAAATTAAAAGTAAGAGATGCGAGTTGCATAAATTTGCATTCGCAATCGATCGGTAGAATTGATTGAGGTTCTTTTCTACTTGCAGGTCATGCTTAATCATATTTGAGCGTAATTATAGTAATTGTTACAATTTCCGATGCACACTATTCATGGCTTCTTCCTGTCCAAATGGTATTATCATTGAAAATTGCAACTTTGTCGTCATTGGCGCCTCGAGTAAAATGTTGGCCTGCGATATTACGAGGCGGTACGTGAATATTCATTGAGTTGATTGATCCCCCGGTCATTGTGATTTGATTTGGATCCACGGGTTTCGTTTGGAAATCAAATCAATTTGAATTGTTAATCCACACTTTCTGTGACTTTGACGGCCAGACGATAATTGAATAGCGTCAGGTACGGACATGTCAATAGCGGCGGCGTACAAGGATCACGAAATATTTGTGACCGGCGGCACAGGTAGATACCGAATCCCCCGATATGTCCAATAAATAAATAATCAAGTTGTTTTCACATGTTGCTGCAGGATTCCTGGGCAAGGCATTGATTGAGAAGCTGCTGCGCTCGTGTCACACGCTCGGCAAAATTTATGTCCTTCTGCGCCCAAAAAAAGGCCAAACGGTCGAGCAACGTCTCGATGCGCTGCTCAATTCGAAGCTATACGAGCGATTGCGCCGGGAGCAGCCGCAAGCGCTGAGCAAAGTGGTGCCGATTTGTGGCAATGTCATGGAACTGGGTCTGGGCATTAAGCCAAAGGATCTGGAGCAGCTGCGTAATGTTTCCATTGTCTTCCATTCGGCGGCCAGTGTGCGGTACGTGTTTGCCATTGGAATCATGATATCTATAATGTCAACATAATTTCTTCTTCGGATCCTCGACAGCTTTGACGACCCATTGCACTCGGCCATTTTGATGAACACTCGCGGCACTCACGAGCTGATCAAGCTGGCGCTCCAGTGGCCCTGTCTGAAGGCGTTTGTGCATGTGTCCACCACATACTCAAATCCGCATATCACGGAGGTGGAGGAGCGCATCTATCCGCCCTATGCCGATTGGAAGACAACCATTAAAATGGCCGAAACCTATGACGAGGAGACCCTGAACATATTTAACCTAAAGTAAGCGTTCTACGAGTTTGATTTTAAAAAAAACACACACAGAAATCTTACATTCATTCATTGCATCTTGTAGGTATGGAAACTTTCAACCGAATACGTACACCTTCACCAAAAGTCTGGGAGAGCATGTGGTCAATGATTATAAGGACCAGTTGCCCATTTTGATATTCAGGCCTTCGATTGGTAAGTGCATAATGCCCTGCTCTCTCCAAATACTTCGATTTACTAACAATATGTTTGAATCAATCGTTTTTTTTTTATCAGATATTTTGGGTTATGATTCCGTCTGCCAAATTCCACAATTTACTTGAGAGAGTCTTTAGAAACAAATGTTAATAAGTCTTTCAATTGCTTGGGTGAAGCTGAAAGACATTTTGCACATTTATAACTCTTGTACCATAATAATATGTTTGAATCAATCGTTTTTTTGATCAGATATTTTGGGTTATTATTCCATCTGCCAAAGTCTAGAATTTACTTGAGAGAGTCTTTAGAATCAAATGTTAATAAGTCTTTCAATTGCTTGGGTGAAGCTGAAAGACATTTTTGGACGAATTGAAATTTAGACACTTGTACCATAATAAGTAGCTAGAGAGATCCATTTGAAATATTTCGAATATCTGTTGCTAGATGGGATGTTTTCTTTTCGTACTCCATGGCCATATCGGTACTATTGTATTTATTAATTTGTATTTATGCAGTGATTTCCACCGTGGAGGATCCTGTGCCGGGCTGGGCTGATAATTTCAATGGACCGACTGGAATGCTGGTGGCCTGCGGCTTGGGAATATTACGTTCGCAGTGCTGTGATAAGAGCATTATTGCCGACTTTGTCCCCGTCGATGTGGTAGTCCGGGGTATGATCATCTCGGCCTACAAGTATCTACAGAAGGCGCCTGTAGCGGGCGATGAAATTGAAGTTATCAATTGTGCGGCTGCTAATATTTCATCCATAAACATGGGTGAAGTGATTGACATTGGACGCACCTATATACGGCAGAATCCGTTCGAGAAGACGCTCTGGTTACCAGGGGGCAGTATTACACTCTGTCCCGTATTACATTTTGTGCGCGTAAGTTGTTAGAATAGATTAGTTGGGCTAATTGGGCACATATTTATTATTAATTCGTGTTATTTACAGTTTTTTACACTGCACATCATGTTGGCCATCGCTGTGGACACCCTGCTGCGTTTCACCAAAGAGAAGCCCTTGTGAGTGTCGAGCAAGTTTCGGGATTGTTTTTGTTTTATAACTAACTCTTTTACCTCTGAACTTACAGCCTTCTGAAACTACAGCGCCGCATCTTTGCTACATTCCAGTTTTTGCAGTACTTTGCCCTCACAGAGTGGCATTTCAGAAACGATAAATTCCAGGCGTTGCATGACTTGGTTCCGAGTAATGAAATGTAAACCCCATCCGATGTGTTCCCAATCAATCAGAACTCACCCTCACCTTCTCTTTCGTTTTCAATTGTTCTGTACAGCTCGACCTTTGGTTTTATGCAGCACTCCAATATCGACTACGTTAAATTCTTTCGCAATGGCATTCGTGGAGCCAAGGAGTATCTATTGAAGGAGCCCCCTGATAGCAGTCGTGGCGCCCGTTTTCGTGTAAAAATATTCTTTGTTCTGGATACTACATTCCGATTCTTGCTGTATGGCTTACTGCTTCGATTGCTGTACAAATTCTTTATACGGGCTTACTTTATTTAGATAATTTCTGTTGTTGTTGCTGTTACTAAAAATGTAATAGCTAACCATTTTTTTTCTAGTTTTATAAACATTTTATTTGATTTGACTTTGGCTAAGGTAAAATGCGTTCTTTTTTTTCCTGCATAGAATTGTATTTAATGGGCATGGATGGGCTGAACAAATGTAGTATAGAAACGAATTTAATTGGAAAAACCAATTACATAAAGTCGCATAGAAAAACATAGAAAATGCGGCAGTTTTTTTGAACTCGCTAGTCACATCTGGCAACTATAAATGGCATGAACGCCATCTAACGGCTTTCAGCGCAACCCGTTACACAGCACGCATAACGATTCGCAAGTGCTGCCACGCTATCATTGTAGCTAATTGCGGTATTGACCTTTAATATTACCATAGTATATACCATATACCATAATATATACACACATGTATACACTTTATTACAAATTTAATTCATTAAATTATTTATTTGCGAAATCCACTCATTTATGCGGGTACATGGTAATGGCGATTGTGTTTATCGTTACTCGTTACCATTTCAGTGGCTCACGCTAGAGATGAGCGATACTTGCGTTTGTTATACATACATATACACATACAACATTGCCATTGCCAGCAGCTCGACAGCGAAAATTCTATTTACCAACACAAAAAGTGCAAACAAACAAACATAAAGCGTGAACTTGAAAGCGCTCTGCGTGTTAATATTATTTAAAACACGATTAGTGCAATTTAAAGCAGCCGCGTTCGTTTTTATTGTTGATTGTTTGTTTGTTTGTTTGTTTGTTTGTTGGGGCCGCGTTGAGGGTTCGAGTTCGTGTTTCGGCCGTTTGTTGTTGCCGTCAGCGAGTGTAACCGCGAGTGCGGGTGGCGTTGGGCTGCCCCCGCCCCCAACCCCCAACCAACGGCATCGAAATTGCATACACCTAATTGGATTAAGCGCAGATAATAGCAGTAGCTAGCCAGACAGTGGCAAGAAGTCGAAGCCGAAGCCAAAGCCGGAGCTAGGCAGCGGCAGCCATTAGGTAAAGATGGCCACAACACAACAATACTCGTTGCGTTGGAACAACTATTTGCGCCATCTGACCTACTCGCTGGACAACCATCGCCTCAACGATGATTTTGTCGATGTGAGTCTGTGTGTGGACGGGCGCAAGATTAAGGCGCACAAGGTGGTCCTATCATCGTGCTCCTCATACTTCAAAGAGATATTCAAGGAGAATCCACATCCGCATCCCGTCATTATATTTAAGTTTATCAAATTCGAAGATCTCAACTCGATAGTCGAGTTCATGTACCAGGTAAGTGTTTCTGCGCGCAAGAAGCGCTTGTGGTTCAAATTAGCATTCCATTGCATTCATTTGCTTTTGCAGGGCGAGGTGAATGTGCAGCAGGAGGCATTGCAATCGTTCTTACAAACGGCCGAGCTCTTGGCCGTTCAGGGTCTAACGGCCGAGGAGAAGGAAAAGCCACAGTTGCCAGTGGTGCCGCTCATAAGTGAACATAAGCTCATCAAGACGATACCCAGCACGATACGAGCAGTTAGCGAGCACCAGCAAGTGGGCGTTGCGGGCGTGGCACAAACGCAGACTGCGACACAAACCATCGAAATACCAACGGCAACATTGTTGCACACAACGGCTGCGACGCAGGTGGCAACCACTGCCCAGTTGCAAGTACAACAGCCACAGCAGCAGCAGCAGCAACAACAGCAAGTCGCTCAGCAACAGCAGCAACAACAACAGCAACAGCATCATCATGTACAAACCACACAAATACAACATATACAGGTGCAGGCAGCACCACAGCAACAACAGCAGCAAGTCACTCAGCAACAACAGCAGCAGCAGCAACAACAACCACAGCAGCAACAACAGTCAGCAGGACAGCCACAACATCTAACCATTACAAATGCAGTAACGCTGCCGGCAGCTAACACAGTTAAAAAGCGGAAGATAACATTCTCGGATGACGATGACAACATCTACACCACCGAAACGGTCGACTATGTCAAGGAGGAGCCGACCATTGTGAAAGGTGAGCTACATACTCTCTTCTATGCCCTTAAAGGAATGGATATTGTGTCTCGCTAGCATACCGATTAAAATCAAAAGTCGAAACCGAACATGTAACAGAGATAAAGCTCTGAAGAACCTTGCGAATCATCACCCAGATCGAGTTTGTTTTTATTAACGATATCTCTACTACTATGTTATCTACCTCAAAAGTGGTTCTTCTGTATCGCCCAAACTCTATAAAGACTGGGCAGCATCGGCAATTTTGTTGAAAAACTTTGTTGCTAAGAGATTTGTATTTGTTTGCTCTTAAATATGGGCTTGTTAGTGATGCAGACATCATTTTAATACGGCTTAATTTTTGTTTTACCAGCTTCTGAGATGACTTTCCTGCGTGGCGCCGTTAAAATGGATATACCCGACTATATAGTAAGCGAGGTGGATGATCGTTTATCCGATGGCGCCACCCCACAAACATCACAGGATGCCAGCACAGCGGCTGCCCAAACTGTGGCCCAGTACTCATCCGAATATGAAATACTAACCGAGTCTGAAATTGAAGAGAAATACCAAACAGAAGCGGAAAATGCTGAGATTTCCATCGAAATGAGTGAGTATTTGTTTCTACTACCTAAAAAAACACCTTATATAACAACTGTTATGTGAATTCTCTAGCCCGTCTGCTGGATACGGCAACCGGCACCACAACTACGGCCACCACTCAAGCAGTATTGGAGGATGGGGGCCCAGTGTCCGCGGGCGCAACAACCACAGTGTCGGTGACGCCGGTGAAAACGGATAACAAGGCCAGCGGCACAAACGGTGAGTGGGCTCTACTCACTAAAACGAAATTCATGGTACAGGTTTAACAATCAAGTGATATACAAGCATATGCTAAAGAAAATAGGGAAACCATTTACAATATGGAAGTGAAAAATAATGGCAAACGAACTGTCTAACAATCAGATAAGACCTCTGCCATACATATTAGATATGCTGAATGTGTATCGACTTTATAATCTACAAAGATAAAATAATAATAACATATACATATATACAATATGTAGTTCTGACAGACAGCAGACAAAACTTACGAAAATATAAACAAATTTGTTTTTGTTTGCCACAAAAATTTAATTCGTTTAGAGATTGCTATAAAATTAGTTAAAATAATAATCGCAGTTTCCTAAAACAAATGCATATGTATCCATTGTTAACCTAATGCACCATGAATTGGTATATCGCTTGTCTAGTTAGTTGTTATGATTGATCCGATATATGAGTTAAGTGGAACGACTGCTGACTATTGTGTATTATTAAAACTATGCGTATGCTTATATTTGATTTGTATTGATTTGATGTGCTTTTGTTGTTGCTATTGTAGGCAATATTTATTGACTACTACATTGACTACTAGCTTTTATATATTACATATGTACATACATATATACTCGTATACTACAGACATATATACTACTATGTCCTTTATCGTATTATTATATTGTGTTTTGATGTCGAATATGTCTCCAAAGTGTTATTGTTGTTATTGTTGTCGTTGTCGTTGCGCTATTTAATATAAAACTCTAGCCTATCCCACTCCTATATTCCAATCGCAATCCCAATTCCCTCCTTCTCTGTTCCTGTTTGTTTATGGGTAATGAGATTTTATTGTTGCTTGCTTACAAACACACACACACACACACACGCACACAATTGAAACACGAAATTGAAAGAGGAGTGAACCGTATGGCAAATGAAAGGAGGAAGAAAATACTGCTGACTATAATTTGCCCTATTTTCTGTATATTTTTAGATTCGCCCAATAATAAGTGGACAGAATGTCAGTTTTGCAAAATGGTTATAACAACGGTTAATCTTTGGAGACATATTCGCACTCAGCACACGCCCCAACCGCCGCGCAAATGCGATCTATGCAATAAGAATTTCAAAAACAAATACAGTCTGCGCGAGCACATACGCATCTCCCACGAGCAAAAGGTCACCAGCAAGACGGAGAACTGATGGACCGTCTTCCAGGTGCGTCGCAGCCTCCCAACTGAGACGCAGATGCCGCAGCACCACCTCCAACACCATTACCAGCACCAGCACCACCACCACAACCATCAGCAGCAGCCGCAGCAACAACTACAGCAGCAACATCCGCAGCTTGTGGCGCGCTTAAATTAAAGCTGGACATAGGCTGCGCAGAGTTAGAACGGGGGGCAACAGAGAGTGTGCGAGTGAGAGAGGCAGAAAAAGAGACAGACAGAGAGAGAGAGAGAGGGAGAGAGCGAGAGATAGTGAGAGATGTATGAAGAATTGCAGCTGTTTAATAATTACGTCCAAGTAAAATTATAGCAAATGTAACTAAAAGAAAATCATGTAAATCCCACCCCATCCTGTCCAGCGCACACACCCACAATCACCCATCGCCACACACACGCACACATACATACATACAAATGTGGGTGACATTGGAAAACGTTTTAAAAAATCAACTTTTTCATAAACTCATCGGCAAATTGTATGAAGAGAATTTTCCATTCATTTCATTCGCAATTGAAAGCGTTTTGTTTATCCAGCAAAAAGGAAAAGGGACAAAACCTAAGCATACAATATTTCATAGATATATAAATGTCTAGAGCAGTGTCTAAGTAGCAATGTGCATGGAAATACATATATATTTATGTATGTATGTATGTATATCTATTCATTAATATACATATATTTATATTGTAAGAGGCATTGTCTCACCCAATCAGTCACGACAGTCAGTCAGTTGAGTAAGAATAACAATTGGCAATTGATTTGCTCTTGTAACTATGTATTTATATATAAATATATACCCATATATGTTTCTTTAATATATTTAGTCAGCCGACCAAGCCATGTAATTTATTTATTATCGCGTTGATTTGATTAAACAATGTTCATCAACATGTTTATCCAAATCTTGATATGCCTGCCTACAATCAACTGAATAGGTGATAGGCACAAAACAATACCAAAACATTTCTCAATCTAGATATGTTAAGTGAAACGATTTATACAAAAAAATTTTAAAATAATATATATATATACTTATATTTTAAGTAAAATTAAGTTTGAAAGTGAATTGCAATAATTGTGGTTTCTGTACATTTTTATAGTAAACGTGTTGTTTCTATTCAGTTGCAGGCTGCAGGTATATAGTATAAATATATTTGATTTCTTTCATAACTCAAGAATCGAGATTGTACAAAATATCCGTTTAAGTTTCGACCTTACAAGTAATATGTATAGGCATGGGGAATCCAGAGCTGCCCCATATGGCTAACTATTGTATATTAGAATTTCAGCTAATTTTGAATTCGTTTAGGCCAATACTATGTACTTTATTTAGTTTATTGCCAACACTTGAATTTAATTTGCTGGTAGGCCTGTACACAAGAACTCGTTGAGAATGAATGTCAAGTCTAGCTGTGTAGGAAGTTAGATAAAAGTAATCCCTATAAACACACTCAAACACACAACACATACATATATACATAAAAATACATACCACGTTAAACGATAATAATACTAATAATACATGATATATTATTAATTGAAAGGCTAAAGTGTTTAATGAACGACTCATACGTATTATAAATTATACATTTATATGGATAACAAGATATGTCCGGTATAACAATAGCAACGGCAACAACAAAAACAAACACAACTTTTTAATACGATTCGATAGAAAAATACATACGGAATGCTCGAAAAATAGCAAATACCCAGACCCATAAAGCATATGCATGTATATACATATATATATCTATACAAATATTGTATATTGATGTGTTTATATACAAAACTAACAAATAAATTTCTGTATTCAATTCCAACAAATCGAAAACGAAACGAAATCGAAAGAGTCCCCGAGAAATCCAATCCATATACAATACATACTCCGATTGGGAGCGTAAGAAAAAATAAAAACAAAATAAAACTCCAAATACCATACGTATTTCCGCTATATTTCAAAACTTGAAAACACCTCTGTGTTTAATTTGACGCCCCAGAGATTGCGCAAGAACTCTGCATACTATATCTTCTGAAATTTTGAGATGTTCTCACCTATAGAAGAAGTGGAAGTTTTCAAATTGGCATACTTCTGTATAATTTTAAGCGATGAACATATTATTATAGCTTCCCCGAAACAAACTGCTTACAAAATTAAATTTGAAAAATTCTTAACGCTTTTCAAAGGTTGTAAAGTTCTATTTTAAATGAGTTTTCAAAATCTTTGGGCCATTCAACATTCCTGCAAACTTTCGAATTATGATTTCCACCAAGTTCGTATAACTTTCTAAATAGGAAAAACATGTTTTCTATACTCCAACCAACTGATTGCCATCGAACAATTCTCATTTACAGCCTCCAGTCCTGGCACACCAGGCGCCACATCCAGTCTCTCCAGCACTACGACGACGACGACTACGACGACCGCCCCGGCCACACTCATCTGTACCTTTTGTAAACGACGTCTGCAGTCGATGAACGCGCTCAGGCGGCACATTGCCTCACGGCACTCGGAAATACAGACCAAGGAGTACGAGTGCTTCATTTGCATGAAGAACTTCAAGACCAAGTGGTCCCTTTCCACCCACAATTCCCGATTCCATCGCGACGTCCGACTCAGCAAAGAGCTGCCCAAATTTGAATATGTGGACTCATTAAATTAAGGGGGAGAAAATGGCAATTAGGAAGTAGAGCTAGCCCATTAGGAATTGATTTGTTTTGTGGCTGTAGATATTGTTGCCCTATATCGTGTACCGCCGATATTCCATATTAATGTTAGTGTTATGTCAATCAGTATTTAGAGCTGAATCAGTGTCAGTCGTACTTATGTTCAAGCCCCAAACTAGTTGTAAGCAGCCCCCCTGACGTCTGGCAGTTTGTATTTTATTTAAATATATAGCATCATTTAGAATAATTAACAATGCATCCTAATTTACCGATGTATTTGACAAAATTATATGACAAATATTTTGTTTTGATATTTTTTACATCCTCTACTCTCTCGTTTGATTTTTCTTTAATTTACAGCTGATCTGCGATTCAGGAAAATATTGATTATAAAAAGCGCTCAATTGACGGAGAAAATCGCAATCACAAATAAAACTATATATAATTTATTGAAAATGTTGCGTTATTCCTAAAGCTGTTCACGTTCAATATAATATTCCTTACTCTAATGCTACGAATATAAGCATTATGTTCCCTATATGTTCGAGTTACGCCCTTGTTGGTTAAACATTGGGTAACAAATGTATGACGCGTCTGTCTGTATGAACACCCAGAACTTTTTAACCAGCATGGCTAGGGACACCAAACTTGTCATGAAGACTTGTCTTCTTCATATGCAGAACAAGTTTGTTTTAAACCATACATAGTCTCATTATTTTATATTGCTGCCATACGAAAAATCGGTACAAACATCAATCTTATCACTAAAAACACTGTTGTTTATTACTATATTGTAACTAAAATTAGTTTATAGAAGTATTCTATGGTTTGATGGTTATGATGTTCTAAACACCACATAAGTACTTTGTTTATTAGGACACCGGATGGATAAAGGGTGTTCAAAAGTCGCATTGCTCGTTCACTTGCTTGGCGTATTGAAATATGAGTAAGTGTTTCGGATGGTTTTTGGGCATACCTAGAAAATCGTTACAATTGTGATTAAATCTGCTTGTTTGAACTATTTTTAAAGTTACTTTTCGAAATGTTAACCCATCCGCTATCCTTCTCTTTCTTTTAACCTCAATAGTTTCTACTAGAAACAATGTTTTCAGCTTCAATGGGGAAAGCTACGCTTCGTGGAATAGCAGTCTGCCTGAAATTCAGGATTATCCTGAATAATAGCATTTCTCGTGCCTAAACATACTACATGAATTCGCACTAACCTTCTAGTATTCCTCTTCTAGTATAAAGACTTCCAACAGATGAGGGGAATTTGAGACGCACATACTGTTTTTTGTAACCTAACTGTAGCATTGGTTTTATTTGGAATTGAAAAGATCGGCGCATATAAATTCATTAACATACTATTGGTGTACACAAAATAAAAATAGTATACGTTTTTTCGCAGGCCAAAGAAGAGAGAATGTTGCATTTGTAAATAGAGACGAGGCGATCGCCACCAGTTGGGTGCGCTTTAAAATGTTTCCAGGCCAGGCAGCTGGAACTTGCTGCTGAACTCGATGACGCGTTCGTGCAAGTCCTCCACTTTCTCCTTAATGTTGTCGCTCTCATGCAGCACATTGGCGAAATCGGCCAGCTTGGGACTGCCCGACTCCTTGACCGCTTCAGCAGCAATCTTGAGCGCTTCATCAATGAACTTGACCACCTGGTCAATATCCTTTTCAACGAGACCGCGCGTGGTCAGAGCGGGTGTGCCGAGACGAATACCCGATGGGTTCAGTGCCGATTTGTCTCCGGGCACCGTATTCTTGTTGCAGGCAATGCCGATTTCCTCGAGTATCAGTTCTGCCTTTGCGCCTGTCAAGCCCGCCTTGCGGACATCGACCAATACGAGATGGACATCAGTGCCACCAGTGGCCACATTATAGCCCAGATCTATCAGCCCCTTGCACAGAGCCTTGGCGTTCTTGATTACCTGTGCCTGGTATACTTTGAATTCAGGAGACTTGGCCTGCTTGAAGGCTGTTGCAATGCCTGCGACCGCATTGTTGTGCGGTCCACCTTGCAGTGCTGGGAACACGGCCTGATTGATGCGCTCCTCCAGATCGTACATGATTTTATCGCCATTGGGTTTGCAGCCGCGCACACCCTTGCGGTAGAAGATGACGCCGGCGCGTGGCCCGCGCAGCGTCTTGTGCGTGGTTGTTGTTACAATGTCCGCAAATTCGAAAGGTGAGGGAATCAACTCGGCGGCTACTAGGCCAGCCACGTGCGCCATATCGGCCATTAAATAGGCGCCAACCTGATCACAGATCTTGCGGAAACGCTCATAGTCCAGCAGACGGGAGTAACAAGAAATGCCGGCAATAATGATCTGAGGGCGGAACGTCTTGGCAGCCTCCTCCAACTTATCGTAATCGATGATGCCAGTCTGGGGATTCACCTTATAGGGCATGCTTTCGAAGTAGATGGACGTGGCTGAGATGCGCTTGTTTGGTGTGAAGAAGCCATGCGTCAAATGGCCACCATCGGGAAGATCTAGACCCATGATACGATCGTGCGGACGACAGACGCCCGTGTAGGCTGCAAAATTGGCCGGCGATCCCGAATAAGGTTGCACATTGACGCCCCACTCATCCTTATTGAGATTGAACAAGTGGAGGCCGCGACTCTGAGCCATGCACTCGATCTGATCAATGAACTCATTGCCGCCATAGTATCTATCAATGTGTTAATATCGATCATACCGGGATGCTCATAAGAATTGAGAACCGTTGCTTACCGCTTGCCGGGATAGCCCTCCGAGTATTTATTGGTCAAGCAAGAGCCCAAACTCTCCAAGACTGCCACAGAGGTGAAGTTCTCGCTGGCAATCATTTCGAGACCTTCGCGCTGACGTTGTTTCTCCTTCTTGATGATCTCGGCCAGCTCGGGATCGCTCTCCTCCAGAGGAGTTTGCAGCATTTTCATGTCCGCCATATTCTTCTGTTTGAATTAAATTGAGACAAACAAAAATCTTAATCTTACAATATTTCAATGGTAAGGTAATGTGGATCGTGCGCTAATCTCGCGCGGCATTCGCACTCGACTACGATTCTATGTGCAATGAACTGCTATGATCGTGCATCGATTGCTGGTGGGCTTGGCCCTGAGCTATCGATCTGGCTGACGCAAGATCGTATAACAACAACATGTTTGTGTCTACGGCTTTTCGCTGTGGAAAAATTTGTTGATGTCTCTGTACGTATTTATAGTCTGCAAAAATCGCAAAAAGTTCAATGGGTTCAGCTGGTATTGGAAAAATGCTACTGATACTATACTAGGGGTTCGTGTTTGTCTTTTATCGCCGCCTAGAGATTAAGCCACTAAGGCGGACATTGGCGTCGAACGTAAATGCAAATCAATATACATATGTATGTATGTACTATACATACATGCTATATGTGTATCAAAAATGTGAATGATCGAGAACCGTTTGGGCTTGACGACGATTTCTGTTTTCGATTAGATTGTGCCAGTTTTTTCATTTGTTTGTTTCAATTTAACTTTACGTGTGCATTGGTCAGCGACGATTATGTCACAAAATTAGATGATACACATATTGGTGTTGCTCTCGGAATCGGGACCCCACGCAGCTCATCTATTTGTGTAGAGCTTATCGCGAAAACAAGCTGATCAGGCCGAGAGTTCAAACGTATTCGATAAGCTACATTTGTATATGGCGTTTTATGAAAATGCCTATGAAGCTGCTACAGACATACTATACATACATATGTACATATGTATATGGAAAGATTCTTTCCAGAAAGACATCTAAAAGGGGTGGAGGAGTATACTACTATAACATAAAGAATGAGACGTGGCAGACCTTCCGAAAGAGTATATCTGAAGATCGGATATGGTATATCAGCAATTTTTGGCTACAATTTTGGAGTCTATGTATTTTAAACATGCATATGTATGCAGTGAAAACTCTCTTTTTGTCCGCCCAAGGGGAGTGTCCGCTTAAGGGGATACTTAAATACTTTACACACCGATCGAATGTTTTAGAAAAAGTGTCTGCCGAAGAGACTGTCCAGATAAAAGAGGTGTTCATTAAGGGAGTTTCCACTGTATATGTATATAGATTTCTGCTGGCTTCTAATCAGCGTTGGCTTACTTTTAGCTAAAAGTTGAATTTTGCAATTGCGGTTGGCAATAATCTTAATTGAATTGCAGAGCCCCCTCTCCACCAAAAAAACACACATCTAAGTAAATACACATGCATGTTTGTATGTACATATGTACAAATGTATAGTCCATTATAAGCTTTAGTGCATTGTGGCAAAATTTGATTTTTGTTGATACAGCCAGTCTGGGAAATCCAAGTAGGCAGAAAATAAACAGGCATGGGGTTTCAGCTTTGGTGTCGAATTAGCAAACTTGTTCTTAGACATGCATACACATTTACATACATACATATGTATGTATGTACATACACGTGTATGTTTTTTCAGTTTAATTGGAAGGCAAACACTCCATTCTTTTCCATAAATCTTATCTTCTATAACCAGTAACACCATTCTTTCATTCTAGTTCGGCTGTGTTTTTAAATAATCAAATTTTTAGCACATACATACATACATCTGTACGTTAATACGCACTTACATACAGACAGACATAATTTATACGTTCTAATTCAAGGTCAGATATCACAACAATGCCAAAAAGGCGAATGTGTACACAAAACAAGCTGCCGGCTCACGCCTACAGTACTGTTCAAGCAGGGCTGAAAGCACGTGTTTATGGCGATCAAGCTTTTTATGCAAAAATCCACAGCATGCGTAGTTTGGTTTTAGCAATTCAGTATTGCAGTATTTAAATGCTTAAATTAAACTTAAGGAGCACACATTCCAATTATGTATTTAAGTTCACTTTCTTCCAACAACAATACGTACCGATTTTGTATCGCCGCACGCCGACTGTGAAAACCGTCTGATTGCAAACGGCAACGCTAATGATGTCGAGAGCGGCGCTGGAGAGAGCAGCGCAGCTGATGTCGATCGTGGCGCTGTTGAGAACATGTGTTGTTGTTGTTTTTGGACATTGTTAAGGCAGTTAACTGTTGTGTGTCTCAGTTGGGAACGGTTGTTGTCTTGGCTTAAACATTGTTGCAGCTTTCTGGGCAGAAGAGCTCGTGTGTGCATCATGATGGCTACGTGAGCGTGAGTTTCTTAGCCTATGAGCTGCGACGTCGACGTGTGCTCTACGAAACTGAAATGAAAAATAAAATTAATAATTTAACAAATATAACCGAAAAGGTCCACACAACTTACAATCAGTGCTGCTGCTTTCGCTGATATCTTCCAGCGCTATGCTGTTGACTCTTGGTTGTTGTTGTTGCTGTTGTTTTGGGATCGAAATCGTAAACAGGGGCAGGGGCAGTCAAAGCAAGCGCATCGACAGCGACGTCTTGGAGCGCCCTCGGTCTGTTCCAGCTCTATAGCTCTCTCCGGCGATGATGGCGCCGATAAACCGTGACCTGTTGCATGCATGTGTTTGTGTGTGTGTGGGTTTGCACGCTGATAAGCCTCGGATGTACATTTTATGCTGTAAATCGAAATACTCGCCTCGATTTCTTAGACACTTGGACAGAATACAGCCGACCGCGATCGCTAATAGACAAATGTTGGCGACTAAGGTGCGACAACAACAACAACAAAGGTGCGCTGGCCAGTCAGCTGTGCAAAGTGTGTGGGTTTGTTGTTCTTGGCTGCACAGATGGCGCTTCTGTACTACGATTTGCATTTGATTGCGAATTTTGTAAATACGTTTAGACCAAAACTTAAATGTTTACTTGCAGACTAGTTAAACGAACAATTTTGAAATCTGACTAATTTTAAAACGTAAATTTATAAAATTGATGAAAAGGTATTTTTTTATTTTCAAAAACATGTGTGGCAGCACTAACGAAACACTAATCCGCAAAAAGCTCTGGCAACAACGGACAACAACGGAGACTATTATTGTTTCAGTTAAAATTTTTGCAACACATGCGTCGCTACACAACATTTTTCAAGTGTAAGCATGCAAAAATATATGTACACGCTTACATTGCTCGAAATTGATAAAAATGTAAGAACATTGTACTTTATGCGTCAATACAACGTCCCATTTGTTTGGCGCGCAACTCAACTGCCTTTTAAATCGCGGTGATGGCTGTCGGTATGCCTTGCACATATAAATAAGCATGTATGGAGTATACCAAAATTTCATTCTGCACTACTCGGACCCACGCTAAAATGAAGAAATAATACAATATCGCAAACAATACAATATGTATTTTCAATGCTGCAGTAACCAGCTGTACATCTTAGACATACGTCTGGCAACGCCAACTAGAGATGGGCATGATGTAGATTTATAACAAATATGCGTGCAAGTTTTTTTTCGTCAACTGATTTAAATATGTATCAGATTAATATATCTACATATCTAATAGTATATTCAACATATTATTGTAGATATATATGTGCATATATTATAAATTTTGGTTTTCTTAATAAATTTGTTCTTGTCAAATATACATTGCTTTTATTAGTTTAATGACTACTATTGAAAGAACTTCTATTAAACCTAGCGATTTTATTTAAGGCAATTATGATGCTGTTGATCTACCAGCACGACTTCATATATAAAATTGGGTATATTTTGTTTTACTTATTAGATTATGTCTTATTTTGTATTCGATTTTGTATACTATCTGCACTATCCTAAAATGAAATATTTTTATTATCGTTCAGAAAAAAAGCATTCGCCGGCGTGCGTCGTCGTGAAAACAACGAAACCGCTTCCATCTCCAGCGTCGACAACAGCAGCAACAACACGCTAGTGTTTCTCAGCTGTTTGGCTGCTGGCAGTCTTTGCTGTCGTCAGTTGAAAATCAACTGCGATGCCGGTCGTGTGTGCGTAGCTTCGCCGTCGGGTGCTCTATATTACCGTTAATTCTGTTTTCAATGGAAAAAAGCGCGCGCTCTTTTCCATTTAAAATTCATGAATAACTTTTTTTTTGGTATTGGTGTTTCCACGACAAATAAAGAAATGCAAGCGCAGGTCTAAATATATGAATGAATATGTGTATGACGAATTACAAAGTAGCTGCGTGCGCGTTTTCATAATATATTGAAGGGAAACAAAAACAATAATAAAAATAACTGTTCGAACAAGTTCATAAAGGAAGGTGACAACAAATTACACACACACACATACAAATATGTATTTAATGTGCTAAAAAGACACGCAAAATGTGAAACAATAACAAGAAACGCCACAACAATAAAAACAAGAACACAGAAGTGGTAGCTGTGAGCGTTTTTATTTTTAGCTAAAAAAGTTTTGCCAGTTGTTTTGTTTTTGTTTTATATCACTGTTTTGTTGTTGTTACTGCTGGCGTTTCGTCCATTTTGTGTTTATTTGTTTTGTTTTTGTTATTTTTTTGCAAGTGCATGCCTGTTAAAAAAAGAAATATTACGATAAATTCCGTTGTTCTCGCTGAAGGTTTCCGGGTTTGTTGACTTTTCTGTTGCGCCTCCGCGCTCTCGCGCGAGTCTTTGAACGTCAACAGTTGTTAAAATTGAAATTGGCTTTCAAAATTGCAATATAATATAAAACAACAAAAACAAAAATCAACAACTTAATAATTTCTGACAGGAAGTGTTTTTTATGATATGAAAATATTTGTGTTTCAATTTTTTTCTTCATTTTTTTTTATAGTTGAAGCAAAAACCGCAAACAAATTGCACACAAATTCTATCATAGAGTAAAAAAAACCCCACATAACAGATACAAAAAAATAAATAAAAAAACAAGAGACAAATTTCCAAAGTACAGCAAATTTAATGAAATTGCTAGCTACTGAAGTTAAATTAAATTCGTGCGGGCGTCACACAAAAAGCGAGTGAATTGTACACATACACACATACTATATATACACGCACGCTAAAAATTTTCTCCTGCAAAGGTGAGTTGGTAATTAATTTGTATGCAATAACAAAAAAAACCAAAAAACAAGAAAAAGTTTGGCAGCTTTTCACATTTTTCTTTCCATGAACAGCCGATTTCGTTGTTGTTGCTGTTGTTGTTATGGGTGTTTTAACTTACCTTTTAGGTTTGTTCGTCAATTATGAGCTATCAGCATTTCCGCCTTTGCACATAAAAATGAGCAAAGTAATTTGCAATTTACAGTTTTTTATGCAATTCATTTTTACAACAACATTTTTTGCTTTTAGTTGTTTTTTTTTTCCACAATGTAAATAATTTTAATTATAAAATAAAAAGGCAAGCACAACACACACATACACACACATACACACACATACACACACACACGGTACAGCAATAAAAATGGCAACACGAAAAAAGAAACTAAAATTAAAATTGCAAATCGCAAATCGCATTCGTTGGCAGTTGTTGTGCTTCTTTGTTTTTGTCCGCAGTTTTATTAGAGTTTTGTTTTCATAACGACATTCGTGTGTGCGCCGCACAGTGGGCGGCTGTCGCTTTGCTGTCGAGGCTGGCGTCGGCAAAGGCGCTAGCGTTGGCGCTGACGCTGACGTCGACTGCTACCAATGCTCATGCATGGCTCTCAGTATTCGCACTTGTATGTATGTATGTATGTATGGGTGTTGGTCATATATACACAAAGCTTTGGCGTCGACCGCGTACTTTCAATTATTTCGGTCAAAATTCAAGTTCATTGCCCAAAACAGCAACAGCAAACCGTAACAACAACAACAATAACAACTGTTTCAAACTGCATTTGCCGTTGTTAACAGTTATCTTACCAACAATAAAAAAACAACAGCAGTTGTGTTCCTGCAACTGACTTTAAATCTAATTATGTATATTAGTTAATCTACATATTACAAATCTAAACCAGTTGATCGAACGGGCATTTAAAATAATAATTTGGCCAAATTATTGGCTATCAGAAAAAGGACCAGACTTCGGTTTGATTTCTTTTCAACAAATATTCTGACTGTGTCTGGCGAAGTTTGAAGATCTTCTATGATCTGTTCATGACTGTTCGATAAGATCGACTCATTACAAATTTATTTAGGTTGCACAAATTTCAATAATATTAGGAGAACCTCATGTCATATCTATATACATATGTATGTATATAAAACAGTTTGTCCAGACTGACTGACTGATTGGTGATCAACGCACAGCCCAAACGGTAAAAGCTAGGAAGCTGAAATTTGGGCTCAAGTATCCTATCATAGGGTAGGTGCGCACTAAGATTTTTGCAAATTCGAGCTCCAAAGGGGAAAACAAGCTCCAAAGTTTGTTTGAAAAATCCACATTTTTTAACCGATTGACTTAAAACTTGGTTTCTAGAATCAATAAAAGGATACAAATAAAACTGCATACTCGGCTTCTTCTTGGAGACTGAATTATTGGGGCTTTAAGCCCAAAACTCCAAAGGGGGTAAACTAGCTCCAAAGTTTTTTCCACCAATCAACTTCAAATTCGGTTTTTATAATCTATAAAAGAATGCAAAAAGAAACTGCATACTCGGTTTTTCGAAATTTTTGTTGGAGCTTGAATTATTGGGGCTTTAATATTTATTCACTTTTTCAAATGAAAAGTTTGATATAAATTTTCTCCGATCGATTTCAAATTTGGGTAATGTAAACTGAGTAACTATAGTAAATCTACAACTTTGCATTCAGGGATTTTCAAAATATAGAAATACGGGTTTCGCTTTACAAATGCAGGCAGAACAAACAACAAAAAATGCATATCAAACAGTTGGGGACAACTTAGTATACATACACACACACACACACACACATACATACAAGCAGCTGTTCGTGTAGCTGCGTGCAAACGATTCAAATAGCCAAAGCAAAATGTGAGACACTAATGTGTGAATGTATGTTCACATGTATGTAATATGTATGTATGTAAGAAATGTTAATTAAAAACTATTTAACATTTTGAAAAGTAATTTTTTCTTTGTTTAGTACACTTGGCATTAGGGTTTAATACTTTTGTTTTCGTTTTTGCTTTTGCACCCCCACTTTCTCGATGTTAGGGATTTCTAAATTGTATGAACTCTAAAAAAAAATATAGCCAACATGATATCTGCCCGTGCTGTTGTTGTTATTGTTTCTGTTTTTTTCTAAATTCTGTATTCTAACAAAAGCATAAACACTTGGCCCATGCAACTGCAAATTTATGTTGATGTGTTAAATATTCGTTGTTTAAATATTTGTAATATATTTGAAATAAAAAGATTTTAACTAAAAAAACAATTTCAAATTGTTTTTCTTGAAATGGGTACAAGGTATTAGCAATTCATTATTCTTTCCTTTGGTAATATAGGACCATGTTCCATACTAGAGTTCTAATGAAACTTGGCAGATTATGCATTAGATTATTGATTAGATATCAATAAATTAAAGAATAGTTCCAATTTATGCTAAGTCATATATGGCAACAATAAATTTGGATTGAAAGTCGATTTCATCAGAAAAATTCATTTCGTAGGTATTGTATAGTTTTGTCCAAAAAACCAAGTACAGTAAAAACAATCTTTTTCAGTTATACAAGTATATAGCTAATTAGCCGGTATCTGTCATACATGATTGCGTTTTGATAATAAGCGTTATTTTCGTTTACGATATCGTTACCAAGCCTGATAATTTTACCTTTTTGGTGCTTACTATATGTTCAGAATTCTCAGTAAGATCATTGCATTATACATATCAAGAAAACGGTGCAAAAATCATCCTTACTAGCAAAAACCTTTTATCCGTTAACATATATGTATATTGTTAAAATAGTATCGTATCTTGTTTTGAAGATGCATTTGAGGGTTTTTACTATGAGAAACAAGCGCTTGAAGCAGGATTTTGGCATTCGAAACATTTGGGCAGTACCTGGATTAGTTCTTCTTCTTGAGGCCAATTAAAGAATTATTCAGGAGATCTCATTGCAAGCATTTATTCCATTTTCAATACAATATTAAAAAAATTGTGATCAGAGTTGTGGGTATAACCTGTCTAATCGTTCCACCATCCTCCGGCACCGCCACCACCACGACCGCCAGCACCACCACCGTTCCAGCCACCACCGCCGCCGCTGGAACCGTGGTTTACAGTGTAATCATATTCAGCTGGTGGGCCCCAGGCATTGGCACCGCCGCCAGCTCCTTTCCAACCACCGCCGCCGCCGCCAGCACCACCAGCTCCTTTCCAGCCACCGCCGCCGCCGCCAGCACCACCAGCTCCTTGCCAGCCACCGCCGCCGCCGCCGCCCTTTTGCCAGCCACTGGAACCACCAGAGCTGCGCGACACATGTGAGGTTGCTCCTCCTCCATATCCTCCTCCTCCAAAGCCACCTCCCCCATAGCCACCTCCACCACCACCACCACCACGACCGCCTTGGCCGCCAATGTGCACTTTGGTGTTTCCATGCGACTGCGAGACATGCGAGGTGAGTCCTGCGCCAATGCCACCACCACCGAAGCCGCCGCCGCCGCCACCACCACCACCACCTGGCAAATAGCCACCACCGCCACCGCCGCCTCTATTGCCGGCGTATGCGACGGCTACGGTCGCAAGGATGCAAACAAAAAGCTGAAAATAAAACGATCGTTAGCTTGAATTTTAGATCCTGTTCCAATCGGGCACTACACACCTTCATCTTCACTTGTTTCGGATTTGTCTTGTAGCTCACAGATCTGAGTACCTGACGGGTATGATACTTCAAGCTCGGTATGGCCACAATTTATACCAAAAATTGATTCTGCCCACTGCTTTGGAGTGCTGTGACTAATGATGTTTTGGTGCTGCCGGCTACTTTTTTTCTTTTTTTTTTTTGGTTAGCTACTAGCGCCAATTGATAGCGAAAAAAATATCGAGGAATGGCTTGATGTGGTTGTTGGTCTTGTTGTTGTTATTTTAGTTTAACCAATTAAAACATCGTGCTCAATTATGATCATCATTAGAGCTCTTTTACTTTGCTTTGTCATCTTTTGGAGCCGTGCTTCCATTTCCTGCTCGACTATGGTATACTCGGTAGATAGCGACGTGGCTTCTAAATTTAGCCTTCACACAAACTCTTTGATTTGCTGGGCCAATCAATTAAGCCACGCTTATCGCCGATTAATCGCGTTTCGGCGCAACTCAAGGGCCAACTGTCCCCAGTGGCATAGCCCTTGGACACAGAGTGTGGCTTTACTATTTGTTTATTAATTCGAAACTCTGTAAAAACACGTACGCCGGGGTGTCTGTGGAAACTGGAAGGCAATATCTTAAAGCAAATATTTACTATGGATATCCCAAGTCTATAAATTCACTTTTTGGTTTCGCCGTAAAGCGCGCTATAAAATTTGTGTATTTCAGTTATAGAAATGAAATCTTAGATACAGCGAATCGGACCACGATTCCGCACATCTACCATAGAAAACCTGTCTTTCTTTCTATAGTAGTGATTATTTAATGTAGAGGTAATAAAAATAAGTTGCGACAGGACCGAAATGATGCCACAAATCGAATGATTATAGTTCAGCCCTGCAGACTGGGATCATCAAGAAGCAGAGAACGCTCAAACGAACTCGTTTTATTTTGTTGGTGACAAAAGTAGTTGTTTGAAGTACTAGAGCACAAAACGACTTTAGAACTTAAAGAAGAACATAATTAAATTCAAGTCAGCTTTTCTTCTGAGTATTTTTTGTTCAACTCTCAGTGATGACAACTAATTGAAAACATCAGCATTACATAAACAAATAAGAAGAAAAACAGCGACAAATTCAGAAATCTTACCGATTACGTATTTGACAGTATTAGATGCTGGCTCTTTCTCCACATTTATTATACTTTATTTAAGAAATACTTTTTAATTTCGTTCCGTAAATGGTGAATGGCGTATAGATCTAGACCGGCTGATGAGATCACAGAACAGAACTTTTATCAGAAACTGATATTGTTAGATGCACTTACTAGCTTGTTGATAAGTCCAAAACCCTTCTGCTTTGTCGGAATTCCCTCAGAGCGGTGTATTGGACAAACACCATGCCTAGAAATACACCCAAGGAATATTTGGTAATCGTATATTTATAGTGTTCTACACAAATATGTAACTTGAGTTTGTATTCTAATCCAATGGATTGAAGTAATCCCAAACTTATCTGCTGAATACCATTCCATTCCATGCATAAACATGATTCTTTGTTAAGAGTTTATTTTGCTTTTACTTGTAATTAAAAGATCCAAGCAACTGAACCTTAGCGATATTGTTTGTGTAAGCAAATAGCAAAAAAATAATCAAATTCTGCGTTCTACGTACTATATGTAATGATATACAAGTAGAGAGTAACTGAATACTTTCCCGATAGTTCGTGTTCTTTGTTGTTGTTTTATTTTTCATTTATTTACGTTGAAACTGATGGGGTTGTGTTGGTATTCTATTTTTTTTTTCCAAGAAGTTGAGCCTTTCTGCCTCATAATGCAGAATTATTCGCTTTGATAGTAACGTTTATTTATAATTACAAAAAAAGGGAGAACAAAAATAAAATAAATATAGCAGACAGTCGGAGAAAAAATTTAATAAAATAAACAACAGAGTACAGCCATACATACATGCATACATATATATGTACATATACACGTATACGAAGCTATTGTTGTGTATGCACAACAACAACAACAATAACAATATTAATAACGAAAGCTATAAACACGTTAGGCAAATTTCCCTGATAACTTGAAGAGCAAGGCGCAAAAATAGCAACAACTGAAAAATCAACAACTATATACATACATATATCTGGATATACTACAAATTATACATACATACTTGTATGTATAGTATATATAAAACTACAGATTGTAAAAAAAGGTTAAATCAAATCAGTGGCGACTACAAAAGATAAAAACTATTTCCGTCGCATAAAAACGAACACAGTAACAATAACAAAAGCAAAAATAATTGGTAAATCAAAAAACAAAACAAAAACAAAAAAAATATGCGTGCTGTGAACGTCAAAGAAAAAAGTCCATACATACATACATACATCCATATTAGTACATACATACATGTATACATACATATAGTATGTATGTATGTATGTATTCACCCCTTAAGCCTTCTTCATTTAATTTTATCAGTTTGATAGACGTGCGCCCAAAGAAGGGCCGTGCACATACAACAAAAGTATTGAAAGGGAAAAAAAACCAAAAAAAAAGTGAATTACATTTTTAAGCAAATGAAAATAACATAAATAATCAGAGAAAAAAAGAAGGTTGTGAGATAGCAAATAACGAGTATATGGCGGCGAGGAAAAAAAACGTTGGCTATTTTTATACAATTAACCAACAAAATAAATAAATAACAAAACGAAAAAAAAAAACTTGCGCACAGTCGCATTCACATAACAGACCAAATAAAGAACAAAAGCAAAGTACAGATATATGAGCACATAAAACGAACGCAAAAATTGAATTAAAATTATGAATCACAAAACGGTTTTGTGGTCGGTCGGCTGGCTTCAATTTTTTTCTTCATGATTTTTTTTTTTTTTTTTTTTTTTTTGAATATGCTTTCGCTTTCCACAAACAATCAACAAAGAACCAAAACAATCAAAGGCATTATAAATACGAGTACCTTCAAAATTCCCTTTTCCCCATAAATAAATAAATGTACATTAGTATTGAAAATAGAAACCCAAAGCCCGCCTGGATCTCTTTTGTGAATAATTGATAAATAAATATGGGATTACAGATATGATCTACTAGCAGCTCAATATTTCAAAAATATACCTATTGGGTCTCTTTTGTGAGTAATTGATAAATAGCTATAGGATTATAAAAATGGCGAACTTATACCGCAAGCTAATAAGCAACTGACTTTGTCTTAGCTTTTACTTTTGAAAATGAATGAAAAATGACTCTATGTGTTCTCCAACTTTTAATTATTAATCTAAGCCTAGTGCACTATCTAGTACTAGTCCTACTATTCCATAAACCGAGTGCTCGACACCAACCTTCGACACGGCTCAAAATTATGCAAATTTTCAGCTCCATTGTGTTTTTACCAGGTTCCATACGAATCCAACAAAATATCGCCAATATACATACATATGTATGTATAGTATGTATGTATAGTATGTATATGAAAAATATGTATGAAAAAGTGAATACTTTCAGATTTATTTCAATCTTTACTTTTGAGATTGCAAATAACATATAATTACTGTGCTGTTATCATCTACTGATAAATATATTTAATTGCTTATAAATTAAGATAATTTATTTCAAATATTAAAAGCCTGGGAAAGGCTTCTTTCAATTAGCAGAACAAATAATTATATATTACATATATAAAAATCATGCCAACTTAGCGATAGAACCATGAACAATATATGTACACCATATTCTCAAGTCCTCTCCATTACTTTCCAACCACAGCAACAATTTCAACAAGAGAGATCGCTGCAGTCGAGCAAGTCCGACAGTGAAATACCCTGTACCAAAAAAGAGGAAGAAAAAGGCGAACTTGTTGCTGCAGTTTGTGGGGGTTGTACTGGCGAGAATTTGTTTCGCTAATAACTTTTCTTAGAATCGGCCGAATTTTAAACAACAGTAGATAATTATACAAGTATATTAATTATGTGTGCAAAGTTTGGTTTAGGTAGCATTTGAAATGTGGACGCTATTGACGAAATTCTGTAGCGGGGGAAGGGGCGGAAAATTCCAAAAAATAAAATAAACTCGTCCTAGGAGATCTGGATTGGTTATTCTAGCTTTTGTAGTTCCTGAGATCCTTGCGTTCACCCAGACGAACGGACGGACATGTCTAGATCGATTTCTCTCGTCATGCTGATTCAGAATATATATATAGTACTTTATGGGGTCGGAGATGCTTCCTTCTGCATGTTACATACTTTGCACAAACCTAATATACCCTTTTTACCCTACGGGTACAGGGTATAAAAATATAAGATGTGTGTAAAAGTGTATTCAATGCTATGTTTGGGCTTAAGAACTATCCCCCTTATCTTAGAAGCAGAAAAATTGCTTCCCTGAACGTTCTTTGTTTATTTCTGATCGACTTTACACCTTTAAGTACAGAAAAATCTATATAAATATTTGTTTAAATACTCTTGCAGAGGCCAATATCAGATACATAGTGTTGACTCTGATAATTGTAGAGCCCAGGAAGCGGCGTAAAGGTGTCTTTATGTTCGCGTTTCTATACAAACAATCAAGCAACTAAATTATATACGTGTATGTAGATGGAATAGGATCAATCGCCGAACTTGACAATAAACTGCAATGCCTTCACTGTCTCTGAAGCCATCCTAATCAGATTTAGCATTCTGCAGCTTAATACAATTAGACAACATATGTATACTTGTATGTACATATGTATGTTGTGTTTGAATCAAATTAAAATCTTGTACCATTAAATATTTCAAGGAAGGGGCACCCGACGTTAGCTTTTCTACTTGCTATACCAATTACTCGAAGGCTAAAAAAGGTATACAGGTATAAGGCTTGTGAAAAGTCTGCAACATAAAGTATATATTCTTATTGAACATGACGAAAGAAATCGATCTATCCGACCCAATATTATTCAAATCTGCTATGTAGATTCTCCTAATCTCTAGGCAAGACGAGCTTATATTTTTCTTACACCAGTAC